ACAGCAGGCAGGGGGGAAAAAGCAGGCTCCCAGCCGGCTGAGCAAGAAGCCCGCTGTGGGACTGGATCCCAGGACCCGGGGATCATGACCTGAGCTGAAGGGAGACCCTTAACAGACTGAGCCACCCAGGTGTCCCTCACTGGAGGGTATTTATTGGACCCCTTCCCAGCAAGTCTCCTTAAACACCACAGTATTAATAATCAGAAACAACTCAAACACTCTTGAGGTGTTGCTTTGCGCATACCATTATAATAAGCCTTGTAGTTATTACATAGATGACTAAGATGTGCCTTCAGGTAGGTTTTCAATCCATTTGGAGACAAACACATCTGCAGAATATGGTAAACAAATGTTTCCACAAAGACACAAAATAATGTGGGGGGGAAAAATCCAAGAACAATGACTTTCAAGTGATGGAATCAAGAATCAGAGTGCCACCCTCACCGAACATCAGCATTTTCCTGCAGCCACGGTACTCAGAATTCTATTCAAATACAGATTTCTCATAAGGTGAAGAAAAAGCAAGGGAGGAAGACGAGGCAGAGTGGGAGCGGTATAGACATCATAATCTTTAGAGCATTCTGCCAGTATACTATTGCCAACAGCTTTGATTTGGTATAAGATGGTTTGTCTTAGAATAAAGGAGGGCTAAGCTGTCTATACCCAACAACAAATTCTGCAGCGAGACTGGGATCTGGAGAATCTGGTGTGTCTACCTCTGACAAGATTTGGAACTCCTGGCAAGGCAGGTCAAGGTAATATTCATATGCTTATCCATCCACTTATTTATCCTCTCTTCTTTCCACAATGGATACAGTATGACAGAGTAAAGAGAAATAGGGTAAGGGATAAAAGATAGGTCAGAAAACAGCGAAGACGGGCAAGCACAGCCCACAGATGTGCACACGCTGTTGAAAGACGTGAGCCAGTTATCTGGCTTTTCTAGAGGAAGCCACAATCCCTTACTAGCCTTACGCATCCAAAAGACACAAATAGACCAGATTTTCAGGAGAAGTCAAATTTTCTGGATACTGAATCCCAAGAGAAATTCCTCCTGTGGCTGCTAATAAAGAAAATGGAAATGTAGTCAACAACATCAGCTACGATCTGCTTCCTCATCGCGCACTTGGGAATCTTTCTGCAATTCTAAGCTCTTCGGACTTGCTAAGTCCCTGATGTGTTCAGTCTCAAAGGCACTGAAAACTGCTACCAAGTGTATGTTAAATACCAAAAAATTCGTTATTGAGGTAGGTATAAGTCTGTTGGGAAATCACTACAGGATATATTTTTCTTCACTTATAAACTGTTGTCAATCTAAATTATGTTATAAATTTACTATATTCTATGCTATTCCTTCAGAATAATGGACATAAAATGTCACATGAGGAAATATACAAGGAGATAACATATGTTTTTTAAAAGTGTATTGTTTGCACCACAGACTGGGTGACTTACACAACAGAAATTTAATTGTCTCAGAGTTCTGGAAGCTGGAAGTCTGAAATTATATTGTATGATTCCACTTATACAAAATTATGGAAAGTGTGGGGCGCCTGGGTGGCTCAGTCGTTAAGAGTCTGCCTTCGGGTCAGGTCATGATCCCAGGGTCCTGGGATCGAGTCCCACATCGGGCTCCCTGCTCAGCGGGGAGTCTGCTTCTCCCTCTCCCACTCCCCCTGCTTGTGTTCCCTCTCTCACTGTGTCTCTCTCTGTCAAAGAAATAAATAAAAATTTTAAAAAAATTATGGAAAGTGGGAACTGATCCAAAGTGACAGAAAGCAAGTCAGTAGTTGGTTGGGGAAACAGGGAACAAGTTCATTAACTTGATTGTGGTGATGATTTCACAGGTATATGCATATGTCAAAACTTATCAAATTATAGGCTGTTGGGGCGGCTGGGTGGCTCAGCCATTAACTTTATGCCGTCAGCTCAGGTTATGATCCCAGGGTCCTGGGATCAAGCCCCACATCGGGCTCCCTGCTGGGCGGGAAGCCCGCTTCTCCCTCTCACACTCTCCCTGCTTGTGTTCCTGCTCTTGCTCTCTCTCTGTCAAATAAATAAATAAATAAAATCTTCAAAAAAAATTATAGGCTGTTAAGTATGTGCTAGTTATTGCATTTCAATTATCGCTCAATGGATTTGTTTTCAAAATGTTTGGAGAGGGTATGGGAGAATGTGGACAAAGTGAACAAGATTGGCAAGGATATCCCTTCTCTAGAGGAGTAAAGAAGACACTGCATGGCTAACTCACATAACAGAAGCTGGCTTTGAAAAATCAAAATGTATGTTTATTTTGCGTTAGTTTCATATACATCTCCATCACCAATATCTCTTCTTCACACCTCCTACCCTCAACCCTCTGATGGATTAAAGTGTTATTATTCAACTAAGAAAAACTAAAGTCTACCCAAAGTCCCAGAAAACGGTAAGTGTTCAATACATATTAGCTTTTATTATTATTTACTGGGCATCCACTAAGTGCCAGACCCTGTGCTTGAACTCAGATATACATAAAGGAATCAGCCTTGGCACAAGACCTACAGTCTGGCAGAAGTAGAAACTCGTGCAAATAAATGCAAGATGTTTTACAGTGCTTTATTGGAAGCCTGCTCAGAATGCAGTGTGGAGACCAAGAAGAAGAGCTCAATTCTGCAAGGAGAAAGAAAAACTTAGCAGAGAAGGTAAACTCAAGTTCAGCTTCTGGGCCCAGGAACAGCTGCCGTCCCAGGAATGAGCTTTTATTCAGTCTGCACACTGCAAATAGTTCCTTTTAACCAAAGCACTGCGATCAAAAGGAATGAAATAATAGGGACTTACCAGGGGAAGTCAAGGCTAAACCAGCTAAGGGACCAGACCACGAGGGCCTTACACACCAAGCCAAATAGTTCAAACGTTAACTTGAGTGACAGCGAGAAGCCTGGGTGGTTTGAAACAAAAGAGTGACAAGTGAGATCAGAATAGTGTTTCTCAATGTGTGGGCCCTGGAAGAGCATCACTAACAGTATTTGGGAACCTGTTAGAAATGCAAAATCTCTCCTGCAGCCCAGACCTACTAAATCAGAACTCTCCAGCAATCTGTTTTAACACACTCTCCAGGGGACTCTGATTGATGCTTAAGTTTGCAAGCCCCTGGATTGAAGTTTGAAAGAGCACTTAGGCAGTTCTGAGGCAGGACGTCTGGATAGGAAGCTGCCACAGTATTCCAAAAAATGTGATGGTGTGGATTCATTTATTCACTCAACAAATAGTCCCTGACCATCCACTATGTGCTGCACATTGTTCTAGACATTAAAGATACATCAGCGAGCAAAGCAGAGAAAAACCTATGTGGCAATGGAGTGTACATTCTAGTGGAAATCATGTCTATCATTTATACAGTTCTAGGTGCTCTCCTATATGGTTTCTATTTGTTATTTCATCCTCACAACTACCCCAACAGATAGGTACACTTTTTGTCTTTATAGTTAAGGAAAGTGAGGTTCAGTAATTTGCACGAAGTCATGTGACAACTAAGTAGTAGAAACCAGATCCAAATGCAAGGTCATGCTTTAGACGCGATGCTATACTGCTTCCTAGTGGCCATGGTGGCGAAAGATATTCATTCGAAATACATTGCTTTGGCACCTACTGTGTGCTAGGTACTGTTCTAGAAATTTGGTCAACAAAACCTGTCTTTATGGAAATTATGTTCTTGCAGAAGAGAAACAATAAAATTAAGAAGGAAGCTATTTAAGTAGTATAATAGGTGATGATAAGGGCTGTGGACAGAAAACACTAGAACGTAGTAAGGGGGATAGAGAGCATGATGCAGTAGCCAGAACGAAGGCCTCAATGTGGAAGCTGGGCCAGGAACAGCCAGGAGATCAGTGTGGCTGGAGCAGAGTGATCCAGGGCACCAGAGCAAGGGAAGAAGAATTGTATGCAACCCTTGTAAGGTTTTGCTGGTTTTTTACTCTGTAAGACGGGGAGCCATTGCAAGACTGTGAGCAGAGAAATGATACAGTCTAAGTTATGTTTTATTTTTTTTAAGATTTATTTATTTGAGAGAGAGAGAATGGAAGATAGCGCGAGAGGGAAGAGGGTCAGAGGGAGAAGCAGACTCCCCGCTGAGCAGGGAGCCCGATGTGGGACTCGATCCTGGGACTCCAGGATCATGACCTGAGCCGAAGGCAGTCGCCCAACCAACTGAGCCACCCACGCGCCCCAGTCTAAGTTATGTTTTAAACGGATTGCACAGATTGTTGTGTTGAGAATAGACGAGGGGGGAACCAGAGAGACCTGTTGGGGATTATTGCAATAACCAGAGTCGGGTAAAATGACGGTGGCTTGACCTCGCTGGGAACAGAAAAGCCAACAGTGACGGATAAGGAGGGCAAGACAAAGAGTGGACGCTAGGAGCCATTTACTGACGGGGGAAGATTGTGAAAGGGGCAGGCTGGGGAGGGGACGTTTGGAAGGGGGTTGTTTGAGACAACTAGGTGGATGTTGAATATAGGTTGCATATACAAGTCTGGAATTCAGAGAGAGATCTGAGCTGAGGAAAGAAATTTGGGAGTTATAAGTAAATCGATAGTATTTTAAATATACGGATAAAGGTAATGATAGAGAAAGGTCATTTAAGTTATGGAGGTTGTTTATTGTAGGTTCACTAATTGTCAGGCACTAAGCTCTAACCTGTGAATTGACCGGTTCATTTAATTTCAACAAAATGAGAAATGGGGTGGGACAGATAGGAGGTACCCTCTCCCAGGAACCAAAATCGCCAACGGAATTCTGTCTGGTACTGAAGAAGCAAATAACACATTCTGCCCGATTCCTCTGCTTAATGGTCAGCCCCTGCGAGCTTCCCATCCCGGCTTCGGCTTTGAAGCTCCAAACTGGGCAGGCCGCCCAGCCCAGCCCTCGCACCTGCGCACAAGGGCCCGCTCGCAGGGGGCGGGGCCGGAGCTGGGCGCTCCGCGGCGCCGTGCGTTGCTAGGAGACGCGAGGGTCGCCGAGGCGCGACACTTGGCCTCTCGCTGCCCAGCCCACGGATTCCTGAGTGGAGAACTCGAGCACCGCCGCGCTCTCCTGCGAGCTCCCGGGCGGGGTGCCTCGGCCTCTCCAGATCGGCCATTGAGGGTAACCACGGAGAGCTGGACCGAAGGGGGGCGGTGGGTGGACACGTCCCGAAGGGCCTTGAACGGTCGGTCCGCCCCCTCCCCTGAGCCAGCCCGGGCCGGCCCCGGAAGCCTCGGCTCCGCCCCTTCCGCTCCGGCATGCCTTTGTGATTTCTGAAATTTGATTTTTTCTTTTTTTTTTTTAAGATTTTATTTATTTGAGAGAGAGAGAATGAGAGATAGCATGAGAGCAGGGAGGGTCAGAGGGAGAAGCAGACTCCCTGCTGAGCAGGGAGCCCGATGTGGGACTCGATCCCGGGACTCCAGGATCATGACCTGAGCCGAAGGCAGTCGCTTAACCAACTGAGCCACCCAGGCGCCCGATTTGATTTTCTTGCTTATTTATTTTCTGGATTAGCTACGGTCTTTATTTGCTACCCCCTGAGTTTCAGAATCTGATTTTCCAGTAGCTTCCAGGCTGAGCCCCGCCCCCTGAGGCTTGATGTATTCTGGGGTCTCCTTTCAGAGTTCTCCTGCGGACCAGTCATTTGACCCCCCGTTTTCAAAATGCTTTGTCCGGCTCAGCCTTATGTGGCAGATTTTACCTCACATACAGAATTGGTGATTTCTGTAAGAAGAAAGGCTTGAGGGACTGGAGAAGGCATGGAGTGGCTTTACGCTGCACAGATGCAGATTAGCACACCCAGACCATGGACTACAAAGGCATATTTGGGAAACCAGTTTTGTTTTTCAGCTGACCCCCCAAAAACTTTGGGAAGGGAAGTGTGCGGACGAAAAAGACCTTAACTGCTCGGGAAACAAGCCCAGGGATGTTAACTGATTGGCTCCTTTGCCATATCCTGATGCGTCTAGGAACAGTAAAATAGGTACAGAAATGGAAGGAATACTAATGCTCTTGGGGTTTTAATACAACTAAAGGTACAAAGCACTTTTCAGAGCGAACAAGGAAGTGAAAAGGACCTTTGCATAGAAGGGAGTTTGAGATGACTGGTACATCAAAGGCTTCTACTGTCAGATTAAAACCTTAGATCGTCAAGGGTTTGATACTGCTGGGTTTAAAATACCTATATAAACCTAATACTGTTTAATAAAATTAGATTTTCACAAAACTAGAAAGTCAGGCCATTGCCATTTCCTGTTTCTGTAGCTATAACTTAGTATTATAAAAATCAGACGTGTTTTATAGTACTTATTTTTTGCCACAACTCTCAGCAAAGTAAACCACTAAATTTCAAAGTGCTGAATGTTACTAGCGGGATTAATATTGCCACTGAATTTCCCAGGATTACTGAAATATTTAATAGAAAAATTGTAAGTTGATCTTTCCCAATTTTAGTCTCATTCTGTTTTTAATAAGTAGAAAGTAAGTTAAAAGAGAGACAAAAAAGTTGGGGGGGTGGGATTTGCAACACTGCTATATAGTGTAGTTACAGTAACCACAGGGCTTCCTATTATGATGAAAATGCATTTATGTTCCCTTTAGCTATTGTGGGAAAACAAAGTTTTGAAATGCGTAATATGTCTAGAGGATACATATTTCTACTGAGTAAAAAAATATTTTTTTTTCTCCAATAGCTTAACTCGTCTGTTGAACAGTTCTTCTGTTGAAAGCATTTTTAATTTTTTTTAAAAGATTTTATTTATTTGAGAGAGAGAGAGAGCACGAGGCAGGGAGGGACAAAGGGAGAGGGAGAAGCAGACTCCCCCCTTAGCGGGGAGCCCGACACAGGACTCAGTCCCAGGACCCATGAGGTCATGACCTGAGCTGAAGGCAGATGCTTAACCAACTGAGCCTCCTAGGCACCCTTGTTGAAAGCATTTTTATATTTATAGTTGACATGATTGTTTTGTTTAAAAGTGGCAAAAGGTTACATAGACGACCTTCAGGAAAGTACTTTTTGAATGAATACGAGTATATAAAAGTATTCTGTTATGTATCAAAAAGCAAAAATGGGTAAAACAAAAAGTATGATTGTGCCACTACTTTTAGAAAATGTGCTTCATCTATAAAAGCAATATAATACAGCCAAAATTCATATAACAAGCATAACTAATTCTGAAAGTCTTTTTATACAGCAAATTTGCACCTTTTTTCCTCTCATGTTTCTTAGTGTCATTTTTCTATGAAAAAATAGGTTATATATAGTTGTATATGTTAATGGATTGTCAGGCTGTACCACATATGTCCAACTCACTGTTGGTCCTATCTAGTGTGCAGCAACAAAGCAGTGAACCTCCCATTGAAATGAATGGAAATGAAATAGAAACCAAAAGAATAGTAGAATAAATCAATAAAACTAGGAGCTCGTTCTTTGAAAGAATTAATAAGATCAATAAACCCCTGGCCAGACTTATCAAAAAGAAGAGAAAGGACCCAAATAAATGAAATCATGAATGAAAGAGGAGAGCTCACAACCAACTCCAAAGAAATACAAACAATTATAAGAACATACTATTAGCAACTATATGCCAACAAATTAGGCAATCTGGAAGAAATGGTTGCATTCCTAGAGATGTATAAACTACCAAAACTGAAACAGGAAGAAATAAAAAACTTGGAACAGACCCATAACCAGCAAGGAAATTGAATTAGTAATCAAAAATCTTCCAACAAACAAGAGTCCAAGGCTGGATGGCTTCCCAGGGGAACTCTACCAAATGTTTAAAGAATTAATACCTCTTCCTCTGAAGCTGTTTCAAAAAATAGAAATGGAAGGAAAACTTCCAAACTCTTTCTATGAGGCCAGCATTACCTTGATCCTAAAACCAGACAAAGACTCCACCAAAAAAGAATTACAGATGAATATCCCTGATGAACATGGATGCCAAAATTCTCACCAAGATACTAGCCAATAGGATCCAACAGTACATTAAAAGGATTATTCACCATGACCAAGTGGGATTTATTCCTGGGCTGTACGAGTGATTCAACATCCACAAATCAAGCAATGTGATACACTACATCAATAAAAGAAAGGACAAGAACCATATGATCCTCTCAACAGATGCAGAAAAAGCATTTGACAAACTACATTATCCTTTCTTGATTAAAACTCTTCACAGTGTAGAGAAACAGGGAACGTACCTCACTATCATAAGAGTCATATTCACAAAGCCCACAGGGAATATCATTCTCAATGGGGAAAAACTGAGAGCTTTTCCCCTGAGGTCAAGAACACAACAGGGATGTCCACTCTCACCACTGTTGTTCAACATAGTACTGCATGCAAGCCCTAGCCTCAGCAATCAGACATCAAAAAGAAAGAAAAGGCAAAGAAGTTGAATTGGCAAAGAAGTCAAACTCTCACTCTTTACAGATATTATACTCTATGTTGAAAACCCAAAAGAATCCACCCCAAATTGCTAGAACTCATACAGGAATTCAGCACCATGGCAGATTATAAAATCAATGCACAGAAATCAGTTGCATTTCTATACACTAAGGAGACAGAAGAAAGAGAAATTAGGGAGTCAATCCTATTTACAATTGCACCCAAAATCATAAGACACCTAAGAATAAACCTAACCAAAGAGGCAAAGGATCTGTTCTCAGAAAACTATAGAACACTCATGAAAGAAATTGAGGACGACATAAAGAAATGGAAAAATGTTCCATGCTCATGGATTGGAAAAAAAAAATGTTGTTAAAACGTCTATGCTACCTAGAGCAATCTACACATTCAAAATATCATCAACTTTTTTCACAGAGCTGGAACAAATAATCCTAAAATTTGTATGGAACCAGAAAAGACCTTGAATAGCCAAAGAAATATAGAAAAAGAAAACCAAAGTTGATGGCATCACAATTCTGGACTTCAAGCTATATTACAAAGCTGTAATCATCAAGACAGTATGGTACTGGCACAAAAACAGACACATAGATCAATGGAACAGAATAGAGAACCCAGAAATGGACCCTCAACTCTATGGTCAACTAATCTTCGACAAAGCAGGAAAGCTATCTAATGGAAAAAAGTCTCTTCAACAAATGATGTTGGGAAAATTGGACAGCCAACATGCAGAAGAATGAAACTGGACCATTTTCTTACACCACACACAAAAATAGACTCAAAATGGTTGAAAGACCTAAATGTGAGACAGGAATCCATCAAAATCCTAGAGAGAACATAGGCAGCAATCTCTTCAACCTAGGCCACAGCAACTTCTTGCTAGACACATCTCGAAAGGCAATGGAAACAAAGGCAAAAATGAACTATTGGGACTTCATCAAGATAAAAAGTTTTGGGGGCGCCTGGGTGGCTCAGTCCTTAAGCGTCTGCCTTTGGCTCGGGTCATGATCCCAGGGTCCTGGGATCGAGCCCCACATCGGGCTCCCCCCTCAGTGGGAAGCCTGCTTCTCCCTCTCCCACTCCCCCTGCTTGTGTTCCCTCTCTCGCTGTGTTTCTCTCTGTCAAATAAATAAATAAATAAGATCTTAAAAAAAAGGCAAAAAGTTTTTGCACAGCAAAGGAAACAGTTGACAAAACCAAAAGACAACCTACAGAATGGGAGAAGATATTTGTAAATGTCTTATCAGATAAAGGGCTAGTATCCAAAATCTATAAAGAATTTATCAAACTCAACACTCAAAGAACAAATAATCCCGTCAAGAAATGGGCAGAAGACATGAATAGACATTTTTCCAAAGAAGACATCCCAATGACCAACAGACACATGAAAAAATGCTCAACATCACTTGGCATCAGGGAAATACAAATTAAAACCACAATGAGATACCACCTCACATGGGTCAGAATGGCTAAAATTAACAAGTCAGGAAATGACAGATGTTGGCAAGGATGTAGAGAAAGGGAAGCCCTCCTACACTGTTGGTGGGAATGCAAGCTGGTGCAGCCACTCTGGAAAACAGTATGGAGGTTCCTCAAAAAGTTGAAAATAGGGGCTCCTGGGTGGCTCAGATGGTTAAGCATCTGCCTTCGGCTCAGGTCATGGTCCCAGGGTCCTGGGATCAAGCCCCACATCAGGCTCCCTGCTCCACGGGACGCCTGCTTCTCCCCCTCCCTCTGCCACTCCCCTTGCTTGTGTTCCCTCTCTCGCTGTGTCTCTGTCAAATAAATAAAATAAAATCTTTTTTAAAAAAAAGTTGAAAATAGAGCTACCCTATGACCCAGCAATTGCACTACTAGGGATTTACCCCAAAGATACAAATGTAGTGACCCAAGGGACACCCACACCCCAATGTTTACAGCAGCAATGTCTACAATAGCCAAACTATGGAAAGAACCCACGTGTTCATCAACAGATGAACAGATAAAGAAAATGTGGTGTGTGTATATACAATGGAATATTACTCAGCCATCTAAAAAAAAAGAAATCTTGCCATTTGCCATGACATGGATGGAACTAGAGGGTATAATGCTAAGTGAAATAAGTCAATCAGAGAAAGACAATTACCATATGATTTCATCATATGTGAAATTTATGAAACAAAACAAAGGATCATAGGGGAAGGGAGGGAAAAATAAAACAAGACGAAATCAGAGAGGGAGACAAACCACAAGAAACTCTTAATCATGGGAAACAAACTGAGGGGTGCTGGGAAGGAGTGTGGGGGAACGGGGTAGCTGGGTGACAGACATTAAGGAGTGTACATGATGTAATGAGCACTGGATGTTATATAAGACTGATGAATCACTGAACTCTACCTCTGAAACTAATTATACACTATATGTTAATTCATTGTATTTAAAACTAAAAAAAAGAAACTATAAATAAATAAATATTTTAAAATAACAAAAAATAAAAATAAATAAAATGAATGGAAATGAAGGGCAAGGGTTTCACTGAAATATGGCTCACTTATTGTTTTGTCGGGTAATCCAAATTTTACATAAATTTGTACAATAACATAACAACATATTGCCTTAAAATACAACATGAGTCTAAACCTAAATTAATAAATAAAGGTCAAAAGTTTTTAAAAAGTCAAATATTAACAATACCTTAATTTTCTTTGGTCTAGTCAATATACATATTGGTATGCACGATGAAAAAAATGCAAACAATAGTAATGATATATCCATTTGGGTAGCTGCTACTTTCATCAGAGTGAACTGTGTAACTCAAATGGCTTCATTTTAATTCCTTTAAATCTGGAGCTAAACCCAAACAACTGTGAGAATTTTGGTTTCAGGACGGAATGTAAATACCACAACCTTTAGAATGTTAAGTAAGAATGTGACAAAAATATACAGGAGGTAGGGGGAAGCACAGAACCAATTCCCTTATTTTTCATAGAAGAGCCGATTGGTACTTGTACAGGACTGATAACATAAAATTCAAACAAATGACTCTTAGCCTCCTAACAGTCTCCATTAATCTATTTTTATTAAGTATGAGGGAAATTTTAGGCCACATTTTTCACATTGAAGAAATATTTATCTGAAATTTAGCAATTCCATCAATTTTATTTCCATTTCCTACCTCCCACCCTGTTAAATCCAGGCTGAGATAAATTTGTTATACTCGTGAAAGCATTTATTGTAAGATTCCTTTTTATAAAACTTTTAGGATGATATTCACCTGATGTTAAGGATTGATACTTCTAATTGGTGTGATGATTATTTTGACTTTTCTTTTTTTGTACTTTAATGTATGACCTTTTCAACACACATTAATTCCCCCTTATCCATGGGGGATACATTCCAAGACCCCCCCACTGGATGCCTCAAACCACGGATAGTACCAAACCCTATATATTCTATGTTTTTTTCCTATATACATGTCTATGATAAAGTTTAAAACAATAATAAAATAGAACAATTATAACAATATATTTTGAAGTTATGTGAATGTGGCCTGTCCAAATATATTTTCCTGCACTATTTTTGTGATAATGTAGGATAAAATGCCTGTATGAGGAGATGAAGTGAGGTGAACGACATAGGCATTGGGATGTAGCGTTAGGCTACCACTGACCTTCTGAGAATAGGTCAGAATGAGGAACATCTGCTTCCAGACTGCAGCAGAGGTAGAAAGTGAAAGTGCAGGTAAGGGGGTGGTACTGTAATGAGTATTTGTCATTGTAATTGAAAAAAATTTAAAAACAAGAAGTCATTTATAAGACCTACTCATGAGCTCTGTATTTAATGTATTTCAGCCAATAGAAACATATTTTAAAAGAAGAATGGATGCAAGGGGGCACCTGGGTGGCTCAGTCGTTAAGCATCTGCCTTCAGCTCAGATCATGATCCCAGGGTCCTGGGATCAAGCCCCGCATCGGGTTCCCTGCTCCGCGGGAAGCCTGCTTCTCCCTCTCCCTCTGCCCCTGCTTGTGTTCCCTCTCTCGCTGTGTTTCTCTCTCTGTCAAATAAATAAATAAAAATCTTAAAAAAAAAAAAAAAGAATGGATTCAAGGAATCATGGTGAAAATTCTGGGCATGTTATTTCAGTTAACTGATATATATTTTGGTAATAAAATGACTCTGAGAAAACAACTGTAAGATATGTCTTTGAAAAACTGACTCTAGAAGTTTGGTGAATAGACAATTACGTGTACTTCAGTTGAATATTTGAACTTCGAAAGCTACTGGTGACTGCTTACATTGTTTTAAAATCAATGATCTCAGTGTCATACAGTCTTACAGCTTTCATGGACTTTGTGTTCGTCTGTCTTTTCACATGGGGCTGTCACAGGAGCAGGGTCCCAGTGACCTCCTGAGTGAATGAACTGCAGTGATTGGATGCCTCCAAGTAGTTAAGATATGGAAAGAGAGGAAACATTGCTCCTCAGCAAGAAGAATAAGAAGACAGTGAGAAGACTGACCTTACATTCCCTTTTTAGGAAAAAAAAAAGTGGGGGATGCAGTTTTGAATATAATCAAATGGAATGGTGGTGAGCTATTTTGACAATCTACTGAGTAGTTAAAAATAAGAGTGTGACTTCAGAAATGTGTATACTATTGCCTAGGACACCAGAATTAGGACATCACTCTCTGAATACAATTTTATTTGATGAAGAAATAAACAGTTCCCTATGTATCTTTCAGGTTTTATTTTATTTTATTTCCAAAGTAGAGCATGAATCCTTCTCAATCTTGAAATTGAATGTTTAAAATTTAATATACATAACAGGATTCTCAACTCTCTAAGTTTTTAAAAATTCCACTTGTGTTCATTTTTAAAGGGACTTTCAAAATTGTCACTCTTATGCTATCTATTAATGTTGTTTTAACATCTTTCAGAAATATTTGGCAATAAGACCTCTGTAGCCATGGCTAGTTCTGAGGTGAAACCAAAATCAATAAGTCGTGCCAAAAAATGGTCAGAAGAGATAGAAAATCTGTACAGATTTCAGCAAGCAGGATATCGGGATGAAATTGAATATAAACAAGTGAAACAAGTTGCTATGGTAAGATGTCTCTACAAACCTGAACTCAAAATATTCAGTGAAAAGTATCAAAATCAAACAAAGAACCAGAGAATAACTAAAAGGAAGCTCTACTCCAATTCTCTTATTTTACTGATGAGGAGACTGAGGCCCAGAGGTGTGGTTTTCAGGTAGACTGGAAGGAGAGGTGGTCCCTCAGCATGGAAAGGTTAAGAACTTTCTAGCTTTTATTGAACAACCATGCTCTGCCAGATAAAGCTTTGATGATAACCACAAAAGCAGAGTCTTTTTCCCTTACCCGGGTAATTCTATTGCCAGATATTCAGTTTATTGTGTAACTATTACTTCTTTCCAGTTTCTTTTTTTTTATCCCGAATTATCAAGGGGTTAGATTCTGTTTATTATGGAGATTATAAGTGACAGAAAACTATTAGAGAGCAACTCCTGACTTTATTTGTGCATTACACTCCCATGCCCAATAATGTGATTGAGATAAAATCAGATTTAAGAAAACACAAAGATCCTCCTTGAAGGGGAAGTCCCACAAAGTGAGAGGAGTGTGTGTGTGTGATGTAGGGAAGAACAAGCCTATTCACTGTATGACTTGGCAATTTTGAAGAGGTCTTGCATTTCACTTCAGTATAACTAACTGGATATAAACTGTTGGGAAGGAGAAAATTTCTCCTGTTCTTTTGGCTGGTCTAATAATGAAATTGACCCACGACAGATTAACAGGAGAAAAGACAAATTTCATCTAATTTCATATATACAGGGGCCCCAAAGATATGAGACCCAAGAAGTGACCAAAGCAGGCCATTTATATACCTTTTAGACAAAGAAATGATAAATGTATGAAGAACTGACAAGACAAAGTAACTTGGGCTTGAGTACTAATTAGTGGGGGGAAATGAAGCAGAATTTATTTACACAGTCCACTTGGCTCTGAATTCTCTGTCTGTGGTTATAAGGATGTCTGTCTACCTCCAGGTGCAGGGAGGGTGCCTTTCACATGGGAGAAAGGAGGGTCAGTGTCCTTCATGTAACGGTTTCTCAAGTAACTCTAACTTGAAACCATCAGTATGCCAAAATGGCGTATTCTGGGGCAGCATGCCCTCAACCCTGTCACTACCATATGCAAATTTCTGTGCCAAGTGCTTCAGGAGATAAAAATATGAGTACCTGACCTCAAGAAATGGATTGGGTCAGTAGGAAGAGAACCATATTTGGAATCTATCCAGGGTCTGCATCCTGGCTCCTCTCTCTCATTTTTTTTTTTAAAGGGATGGTGAGAAGTGACACCCTCACCTTGTTCTTTTTTTTTTTTTTTAAGATTTATTTATTTATTTTAAGGGCGGGGAGGAGAGCGAGCAAGCAGGGGGCGGGACATAGGGAGAGAGGGAGAGAATTTTTTTTTTTAATTAAGATTTTTTATTTTATTTATTTTTTAACAGAGAGAGAGACAGCAAGAGAGGGAACACAGGCAAGGAGCGTGGGAGAGGGAGAAGCAGTCTTCCCGCTGAGTAGGGAGCCTGATGTGGGACTCGATCCCAGGACCCTGGGATCATGACCTGAGCCGGAGGCAGATGCTTAATGACTGAGCCACCCAGGCTGAGCAATCCTGAACAGTGCTCTTAACTTGGCTGAGCTCAACAGTTGAATTGTGATGGCAGTGTCTGCTTTAGAAAATAGTTACAGGAATTAAATGAAATCACGTGTTTGAAGTGCCTGACATTGTAGTGCTTAATGATTTGTTGAGTGAATGAAAGATAAGTGTTTAATCATTGATAGCTTTTATTATTCTTATTATCTTGAAGTAGAAGATTAATAATGACATGAACAGTAAAAACTTATGCAAGTCAAAATATGTGTGCCTTTAAAAAAGATGCAGGAATTTAGAGGAAGACAAAATCGCTTCCTTTGGGGGACAATCCTCCAAAAGGGCTTCATGCCCGCAGAGACATTTGCAGAGGGCCTTGAAGGTTGGCCAGGATGGTAACCAAATGCTTACCTTGATTGGTATGTCTCTACCAGTGTACAGAGGTGGGGAGGGTTTGAGCAAACTTCTCTTTCCTCACCTGAAGCATATGTCCTTTTGGGACACATAAACTATTAGAGCTTACTGACCTCACTAGTTGCTCTTAACAACCATACAACTCCACTCTGTTCTACTCAAAGGTGTGAAGCTTTCTTCCATCGACTGGGAGTCCTCAAGTGAAAGGCCAAGAAGAAAAAATTATAAAATACAAGGGATATTTAAAATGACTAAGGGTTGATGAGCACAGAACAAATACAGCTGCTTGGAGGCTCATCCCATATACAGAGGCTATTTCTTCACTGGATGAGATGCTTTTTAGGACCCTAGTAAACGAAAGAGAGCCTGCTCCTGGCCCCAAGAGGAAGAGAGTTATAATGGTGTCTTGAGAACACCCTCCTTTCTCTGCTGGGGGCAATGGAAGCTATGAAAGGCAAGCTTGACCTAAGTGATAGGAAGCATTGATTTTTTCCCTATACTGTAAATGTCAGAAAGCCTGCCAAGGTTCATCCAATATGTTGCTACCTATTTTCATTAATTCTTAAATAAAGGAGACAACACAAGAAAAAGAAAATGTGCTGTTAGAAAACAAAGGCCATGCATTCCTTTGTATTCATGAGGTATTCCTATCCCAGTGGCAAGTTATGATTTATGGATGGTGCATATGAGAAGTGACAAGGTGCCTGGAGAGATGGTGGTGAAGAGCGTTCGATTATCTAGACCATGACACCTGAGTGATCAGGTTTTGACAATGATAGAGTAAATCTTAAAAAATCCAGAAGAAATATACCAAACAACAAGAGAAATGTATTGACCTGATCATGATCCAGAAAGTAAAACATGAATTTGGAGAGGACGGGGAGAAAAATGTCCAAACTAGGTCAAGCCAAATAATAGAGTAAGCAAACCAATATGACATATGAGAAAGAATAGTGGGGAGAAGGTAAGAAAAGATAGTGGAGGATTAAATTCATGACCTCAAATTTCTATTAAAAATTGGGTTTCAAGGGGCACCTGGCTGGCTCAGTTGGTGGATCATGAGGCTCTTGATCTCAGGGTTATAAGGTCCAGCTCCACACTGGGTGTGGAGATTTTTTTAAAAAAATAAAATAAAATCTTGGGGCGCCTGGGTGGCTGTCGTTAAGCGTCTGCCTTTGGCTCAGGTCATGATCCCAGGGTCCTGGGATCGAGCCCCGCATCGGGCTCCCTGCTCAGCAGGGAGCCTGCTTCTCCCTCTCCCTCTGCCTGATGCTCCCCCTGCTTGTGCTCTCTCTTCCTCTCAAATATAAATAAATAAATAAATAAATAAATAAATAAATAAAATCCTTTAAAAAATTGGTTTTTCAAGCTGAACTTGTGATATGGATTTGAGGAATGCATATGCACCTTCAGGTGTCTTGAGTCTAGCTGGTTCCATTTGTCACTGGTGTGACATCAACGCTCAGCAGCCAAGTGCTTTCAGAGTGGGGCCTGAGCCTAATTTCCTCCTCGGGCATTACTTTTAGAAATTAAGAAGTAATAATGTTTGAAATAATTTGTAAACGTAAGACAAAGTTTTGAGTGTTTTGAATGTTTCCCCTATCTTGGCCACTGAGTAGAAATTTAAATCTAGAAATTGGGATCTAGAGACAAGCACCAAATTAGCTATTTTGCAGTATAAGGATACAACTTAGGGTGTGTTTGAGGTGTGTATAATACTCTCTTGAGAGCTCAAGTATTTTTAGATTTAATTTTATGCTTCAATTTTTGGATGTGAGATATACTGTTAACTATTTGTTAGTAAATTATTATATAAAAATAAAACCAGCATCATAGTATTTGTATTCCGGTTTCTGATGTGCAGGTAGATCGTTGGCCAGAGACGGGGTACGTGAAGAAACTCCAGAGAAGGGACAATACTTTCTATTACTACAACAAACAGAGGGAGTGTGATGACAAGGAAGTCCACAAAGTAAAAATTTATGCTTACTAGCCTTTGTTCTTTGTGTTATTTGTCATTACTTAGAACTTCATTGCTTCATTCTACATCATGTAAATGTCATTTTACAAAATAATTCAAAACGCAGACTTCAGCTGAATGCTATGAAACACAAAAGCCATGAAACCATGAAACCATCCTGTTCTGTTCTAAAATATAATTGCAGAAGCATTAAAGTTGTATCCATCTTGGTCCTGTTCTTCTGATTATTTTAAATGAGGTAGACTAACCATGATGCACAGAAAGAGACAACCCCATCTGAAACCATTCCTGTGGTGAGGCTAGTTATGTATAGGTTAGTGCTCCATACTCCCTACCCCCACCCCCAGACTTTACCACTTTCTAAGACCACCATTCTGAACTGTCAGATCTGCCTCTTGTGGCCTGAGGGCTTTCTCTTGTCTCTGGAGTCCTTGGCCTCTTGCTGGGTAGATTGGAAATGCCAAGGGCTTCTGGCCCTTGGGAGCAGCCCTCAACGAATAACTGATGGGGAGGAGGTGTTCAAAAGCTCCAGCTGCCTGGTACCTCAGAGGAATCCATCAGAGGTGTGTGCTTTACACTGGCACCCAGTTTCCCAGCAGAATGAAGCTTCAGTCCCCTGCAGCGGTGTCTGGCTGGATCACAGAGTCTATTGGCTGTCTCCCTCCATTGCCACTCCCCCCCACTCCCTGCCAGGGATTCCCTTCATCCCGAATCAGCTCCTTGTATGTGGAGCCTTGTCCCAGGATTGGCTTCTGGGTTCCCAATCTAGACAATTCCTGTTCCAGTCCTGCTTGGAGTCACTGCAGAAACAGCCCGAGTGCTAATGAGCTAGGCAATAATTAACCTGTAAGACATAGGAGGTCCCCAAAATTCATGAGTCTTGAGCGCTTTGAGGTTAAATAGATGAAAGACACCCTTTCTATTTTAACTATGTTTTCACTAGATTTTTTTGTCACCATTCGTAAGCCCTGACCTTTAAATAGATTTTTGGATATGGGGATCATAACCATCAATTCATCCAACTTCAGCTCCCGTTTTCCAGAACTATCTGTACCCGTGAAGCTCCATTAGTTTTCCTAAATCAATGTTGTGCTTCTTCAGCATTTTTTCTTTTTGAGCAAAAACATCACAGGAAGGAAAGATTGGCAAACTTTTTTTATGCCTTTCCCAGCGTTGCTTGAGATCATCTCACCACTTTGAAGCCATTTATCTGAACCCCTCTGCTCATGCTTTTTATCATCCTCTTTCAGATTTGGCAAACGCCTCAGTACTGATCATAAGGGATCTTCTGAATCTGATAATGCTTTTTTTTTTTTAACCTACTGTGATAGAAGACATCCCCTGACATCCGCATTGCCTCCAAATACACCCTTATCCCTGAAACCTGTGCTTATGGTACCTTACACAGCAAAAGACAGTTTGCAGATGTGATTAAGTTAAAGATCTTGAGATGGGAAATTATCCTAGAATATCTGGGTGGGCCCAAAGTATCACTCGGGTCCTTAGGGCAGCAGGCTGGTCAGAGTTAGAGAAAGAGGTGTGACAATGGAAGCAGAGGTCTGAAGGGATGCAAGGAAGGAACCAAAGTCCAATGAATGCAGAAAGCCTCTAGAAGCTGGAAAAAGCCAGTAAATGGCTAGTCTCCAGAAGAAACACAATCTTGCCAACACCTTGGTTTTTTTTTTAAGATTTTATTTATTTATTTAAGAGAGAGAGAATGAGAGATAGAGAGCACGAGAGGGAAGAGGGTCAGAGGGAGAAGCAGACTCCCCGCTGAGCAGGGAGCCCGATGCGGGACTCGATCCCGGGACTCCAGGATCATGACCTGAGCCGAAGGCAGTCGCTTAACCAACTGAGCCCCCAGGCGCCCCCCCCAAAAGATCTTAACTTGTGCTTACATTCATATGAAGTCTTGCATATTATGAGTGTCCTCTCAATTATTTTATCATGAAAAACAAAGTCCTTTTTAGAGAATATGTTACCCTAAAAGGCTCTCAATCAGTGATAGTTTGGTTGGTTATAGAGATCTGTTACAAAACTAACACCGAAAAAAAGCAAAAAAAGGGGCAAATAATCATGACTCTAGGGTTGATGACCTCACATTGGCAAAGACTATATGTCTTTGTAAACAACTTCATGATCAATTTGAAAACCTCATAGGAAGAGTTTAAATTGTGGAGAATACAAATCCAAATACAGAAGTTGAACTTTTTAAAAAAGAAATGATCCTCATACTCAGTGGATGGATATTAGAAGTGGAGGAGGGACCGTAAAGTATCTCCCAAACTGAGAAGGCACTTTGAGACCAAAAACCGAGGTAGCCCCCTCCATACAGTTTACACAGAATTGTATGCAAGGTAACTTGCTGACAGGGCATCAGCTGGGTGACAATCCATGGTAGCCGCACAGCTATTCTTTGCAAAATCCAGACCTTAGTCCAGCGATTTTTATAGAATGAGATGTGCAGTAGGGCACTGTCATGAGATCAAAGGGTTCATATGCACCTCCAAGGGCTTGCATGCCCCTAATTGGCAGTAAACCTTTAATTAGCTCTTGGTCATCAACCGTGCATCAGGAAGGAGAAAGACTATGTTACCTCTAACAGATTCCTGGCCAAAAGAAGCCTCCCCTAATCCCAGCCGTGGTGGGCATTTCTAAGGTATGTATCAGTCTCTAAGGGGCCTAGAACACACAGCCCTAAGAGAGGTCACTGAGCAAACATGAACACGATGGAGGGCCAAAGATGGAGTCGGTATTGTCTGCAAGCCTACAATGGATGCTTGGATATTGGGGGAAATTTTCCAATGACAACATTATATGCAAATGAAAAGCTGTATTTAAGACTCGGAGTGAAAACTGTGTGCTCTAGAAAACTTGCAAATGACGTCAACAGTGGCTCCAGTAATCATGAAGACACTGAGACAGAAGCTGCCGTAAACTATTGTTTGAAGATTTTATTTATTTGAGAGAGTGAGAGTGTGTGTGTGTGTGTGTGAGAGAGTGTGTGTGAGTGTGTGTGAGTGTGTGTGTGTGTGTGTGTGTGTGTGTGTGTGTGGAGTTGGGGGGAGGAGCAGAGGGAGAGGGACAAGCCAACTCTGCACTGAGCACAGAGTCCAACATGGGACTTGATCCCATGATTCTGAGATCATAACTAGAGCCGAAATCAAGAGTCAGGTGCTCAACCGACTGAGCCACCCAGGTGCCCCCATAAACTGTTTAGATAAAAATATTCCCTGAATTGTGAAAAAAGGTGATTTCTAAATTACATTTATATCACTTTAAATGTGCCTATGATTTAAATGTACTTACTAAATGTTATAGATTATTTCATTTACATCCCTAAAATTTTATATATTCAAATTGTCAAAATCAAGCCCATGAAAATCTTTTTTGGCCTTTCTTTTTGGAAAAATTGCCACTCACTTTACTTTTTTTTAAAGATTTTTATTTATTTACTTGATCCCAGGACCCTGGGATCATGACCTGAGCCAAAGGCAGATGCTTCACAACTGAGCCACCCAGGCATCCTGCCACTCACTTTATACTTGAACATATTTTCCATATAATTAATGAAGATTTCCATTAAAACATACTTAATTCAGGGGCGCCTGGGTGGCTCAGTTGGTTAAGCGACTGCCTTCAGCTCAGGTCATGACCCTGGAGTCCCGGGATCGAGTCCCGCATCGGGCTCCCTGCTCAGCGGGGAGTCTGCTTCTCCCTCTGACCCTCACCCCTCTCATGCTCTCTGTCATTCTCTCTCTCTCAAAAATAAATAAAATTTTTTTAAAAAGTACTTACTTCAGTTCAGACAGGTTAATTGATTTATGTAATGTTAAATACATTTGAATTTTCTCCCTAGTAATGAAAAAGTTGTGAACTACTTATACCAGAACCCTGATGCAATTTTTATACTGATTTGTTTTCCCTGGGCTGCAGGTAGCTCCCTTTGTTTTACCAAATGGGGCCAAAAGAGTCATGATTTACTGGAAGGTATTCCAATAAAGTGCTTAGGAATTTTCATCACCATCTAAGTGATTTATAAGATCAAATGTCATGGGACACCTGGGTGGCTCAGTTGTGAAGCGTCTGCCTTCGGCTCAGGTCATGATCCCAGGGTCCTGGGATCGAGCCCCGCATCAGGCTCCCTGCTCGGCAGGAGGCCTGCTTCTCCCTCTCCCACTCCCCCTGCTTGTGTTCCTGCTCTCGCTATCTCTCTCTCTGTCAAATAAACAAATAAAATCTTTAAAAAAAAAAAAAAAAGAATTTCCTTACTGATAGATAATTAATAATAGGCATTCAAGATTGCTCTTCAATAAGTGATTTTTATATTTCTAAAGTAAGAAATTCTGTTACCTTTCTTTTGTTATTTTCACTAGAGCTAGAAGGACTTTTCAGAAGTTGACATTCTAACCCCTCCGCCACTTGTTTTTAATGTAATGGTTGATGTCCTTAAATTGAATCTACCATCTTGCAATTGTTTCAGTTTGTCCCATCTGTGATTTGTTCCATTTTGCCTGTTTTCTCCCTTTTGAATTAATAGACTATGTTAAAAAATATCCTGTGTATTGGGTGCCTGGGTGGCTCAGTCGTTAAGCATCTGCCTTTGACTCAGGTCGTGATCCCAGGGTCCTGGGATCAAGTCCCACATCAGTCTCCCTCTTTGGGGGGAAGCCTGCTTCTCCCTCTCCCACTCCCGCTGCTTGTGTTCCCTCTCTCACTGTCTCTGTCTGTCAAATAAATAAAATCTTTAAAAAAAAAAATCCTGTGTATCTCCACTATTGCCTTATTAGCCAAATGTGGGTTTTTTGTTTTGTTTTTAGAGAGGGAGGGGAGGGGCAGAGGGAGAGAGAGAATCTTAAGCAGGCTCCATGCCCAGCACAGAGCCCGATGTGGGGCTTGATCCCACAACCCTGAGATCATGACCTGAGCTGACATCAAGAGTCAGATGCTTAACTGACTGAGCCCCCCAGGCGCCCCCAGCCATATGTCTTTGTTTTATTGTTTTAGTGGATGCTTTAGAATTTACGATATGCATTTTTAACTTATTACAGTCTATCTTCAAATATTATTCTTGGTTAAGTTTATTCCTAAGCAATTTATTGTTTCTGATTCTATTGTAAATGGGTTTTTTTTTTTTTTAGTTTCTTTTTCA